TACATATACCTTAGGAGCTGAACTGAACTGAATTAAAATGAATATTTTATAAGAAAAGGAAATTAGGAGCTGAAATGAACTGAACTAAATTGATTTGAGCTTAACTGAACTAAAATTAAGGTGAAGTGAACATGCCCTTAGATAAAGTTTAAACATAATCCTTGTCAATTTTTTTTTTAATACGTAATCCACTAAACAAAAGATCTATATGTTACTATAGGACCACCTAAATTATAAATGAGTATCACCAAAAATAAAAAATAAAAAAAAATTGCACATTATAATAATTATTTTAAGTGAATGACAATTTGTCAAAAGATAATTGAGAAGGTAAAATTATAGTGGTAAGTAAATCAAATAAGAATTTATTTAAAGATAAATTTTGTATCTCTTTGGGCCTATTCTGATTTACTAAACTGAGCTTAACTGAACTGAACTGATTGGAGCTGAGCTGAACTGGACTAAATAGAGCTGAAATAAATTGTTTATGAGAGAAGGAAATTAAGAGTTGAAATGAACTGAACTGAACTGGATTGAACTGAATTAATTGGAGCTGAACTGAACTGAACTAAAATTAAGCTAAAGAGAACATGCATTATTCTTGAGACTACACATTGATTGTTTTGGACATCTTAAGTACATTATTTGTATGTACTTCGGGCATGTTCACTTCAGCCTTATTTCAGTTCAATTCAATTCAGTTCAGCTCTAATCAGTTCAGTTTAGCTACAATCAGTTCAGTTCAGTTCAGCTCCTAATTTTCTTCTCTCATAAAATATTCATTTCAGCTCTATTCAGCTCATCTCCAATCAGTTCAGTTCAATTCAACTCAAATCAGCTTCAATCAGTTCAGTTTAGCTCTAATCAATTCAATTCAGTTTAGTTCAGTTCAACTCAATTCAGTAAATGTGAACATGCCCTACATATATAATTTTGCATAGAGTCATGTATACTTGATTACATTCCCTCAAGGTGTTTTATATTCAAAATGTACATGTTTATCTGAAATAACCTTAGTTAAATATTTAAATCTTTTGGATAAAGACTAATTTAACATAATTCAACTAAACAAAAGAACAATGTTAAATATTGGGACCACCTACATTATTATTGTGTGTCAACAATTAGTGACCTTATTTACACATTATAATAGTCAAGGTTTACTTTTAGTGCAAAACTTGTAAATTCACAATATTCACATTCTTACACTTAATTATCAATTATCTTTTGATTCTTAAACATATAATTAGGTTGATTAATTTTAATGGACATATTCCTACGTTTCTTAGCTTTATTCCTACATTTCTACATCTCAAACACATAATAGTCAGGGTTCAATATAATTAAGAATATTTTATATTTATATATTATTAACAAATTTAAAAAATTAAATATAGGAAATTTCATCATATATTCCATCCCCCCAAATAATGCCTCTCTATTTTATAAAAAATAACTTTAAAAACGCCAATATGTTTTTCCAAAAATAGATAAAAACTAAAATTAAAATAAAATTATTTAACGCTCTCCCCTAGTCCCCCCCCTCCCAATATTGCCCTCTTTAATCTCTATGAATGTACCAAAAAAAAAAAAAAAGAAAAAAAAAAGAAAAAAAAAGGGTATGTCAATACTTCTACCTGTACGCTATCACCAATTTATAAAAACTAAGAATTGCTAATGAACACTATTAAATATTAAATAAAATTTAATTAACATACTTTGTAGGATGATGTTTTATCTATAGAAAAGATTCCTTACATAATTGAAATATTTAAAATATAGGGAAAGATTTTATCATGTACTCCCTCCCCAAATCACGCCTACTCCTTTCACAAAAAAAAAAAAAAAAAAAAAGTCCAAATATTCACGCCTCCTCAAATAACGCTGGTTTTTTTTTTTTAAAAAAAAAAACCTAAAATTATGGAAACACTTGTTTCAGTTTTAGTTATATATCTTGATTTATGTTTCTTAAAAAAAAAATATCTTGTTTTTTTTTTATTTTTTATTATTTGTCTTCAACCTAAAATCATGTCATAGCTTGAACGTTCAACAATGGTAGATAATATTCATGATTTCATTCGACTAATCAAAGTAAACACAAAGTAATACGATTAATCCATAAATTAATTTCTAAATCATTAAATAAATAATATAAAATCAGAAAATTAATTCTTTTTTTTTTTTTGAAGTTCAGGAAATTAATTCTTAACATTCAACAATGTCATATTAATCTTGAAATCATATGACTGATCAAATGTTAACACAAAATCATATTATAAAAAGTGATTTTTTAAACAATGATACAAATAGTTTAAATAAATTGATTATAATTTATGAAATCAAACTATAAGAATTTAATTAATTTAAACTAGAAGAATGAATGTTGTAGGTTGATCATGAAGGTTTTAGATGATATAGGTTGAAGATGAATATTTATTATTTGGAAGATAGTTTTATTCAAAGAAATTAAAAAAATAAAAAAAATAAAAAAAAACCAAACATTTGAACAAATTAATTTAACCAAACAAGTCTTAATAACTTGATGACTAGACTTGATGACTGTTTTTTTGAGGTGTTGAATTGAACGCCTAGGATTAGTCACTTTACAAATAAACAGTTGAGATTTAATCTCTTATTGTAGTCGACCGTAGTCGTCCATAGTCGTCCGTAGTCGACGACTACGCTAGAATTTTTATGAAAATTTTAGGTGTGAATGTGTGATCGAGTTTGGGTTTGGGTCGATTGTAATGGACTCGTTGTTCGTCCTCCTAAGATGGGTTAATTAATCAAGCTACTTAATATATAGCAGTTGTGCTGAATAATGTAACAAGTGGCCAAGTGCCATAGTTACTTCTATATGTACTATATATATGAATGTATGATTATTAGGGGCGAATACAGGAATAAAAATTTATGGGGTCAAGAAACGATAAAGTTACCCAAAAAAAAAAAACTCAAAAGTGGAGAATCAAACCTGAGACCTCTCTCTCGCCAAGTTACCATGAATAAGGGTTTGTTGAACTGAACTGAACTGAACTGAACTGAAGTGAAATGAATATTTTATAAGAGAAGGAAATTAGGAGATGGGCTGAACTGAATTGAACTGAACTGAGCTGAACTGAACTGAACTGAACTGAATTGAACTGAATTTCAACGTAAGAGAACATGCCCTAACTCTTACAAACCAACTGGTATATCACTAACATCATGATATGTAGGACAAATATTAGCTATTTATTAGTTATTCTAAGGGGGCCATATTATATATTACATATATCACCAGTTGGGCCACGGGGGGCCGGGCTTCCACCAGCCCCCAATGGCTCCGCCCCTGATAATCATGCATATACTACCTCCGTTAAGTTTTATTTGCAACTTTTACTATATTTGGATGCTTAGTATTATTTGCAACTTTCCAAAATCTTTCCCTTTTTAGTAAGTTTTTTTGGCTAGAAATGTCAATATTGCCCTTATTTTAAAAATTAAACATCCACTTAAATAATTAATTGCATTACATCAACAACTTAAGTTGGATCTAACAAATCCCAATTTGGCTTTTTCTCTCTCCTCTCAATCACAACCTCCATTGATTTCGATTTCGGCAAGCACTAGCAACAACGTTGTCGTGGCTATGGTGGTTTTGCGGCAAGAAGTAAGGAAGCAATACACAGGTATATTTCATGGATTGGATGATTTTCGTGGGTTTGTAGGTTTTTTAGGTTCAAAGGTTTTAGTGTATTTGTGGGCGATCGGTGATTTTTGGTGGGTTTGTGGGTGGTTTCGATTATTTTCGGTGGGTTTATGGGTGATTTTAGTGATTTTCGTGGATCTTGTTGGTGGTTTCAGTGGGTTTTGTGGGTGGCGTTGATGGTGTCGGTGTTGGTTAGTGGTCTAGATTTAGGTGGGTTTATGGGTGGTTTCATTGATTTTTGTGGGTTTTGTGGGTGGTGTTGATGGTGTCGGGTGTCGATCGGTAGTCTAGGCCGAATTTAGGGTGTTTCGGCGGTGTCGGTGTTTGTGGTGGTCTGGGTTGGGAATTTCGACAGTGTCGGTGGTTGTGGTGGTCTGGGTTTGGAAGTTTTGGTGGTATTGGTGGTCCGGGTTTGGGTGGGTGTCGGTGGTGGTGACTGGTCTAGTTTCAGTGGTGTCGGTGGTGGTGGCCTGGTCACCTAGTGAGTGGCTTGGGTAGTTTACTAATCATGTTTAATTTATCTCTCTCCTCCTTAATCACAAACCCTTTCATTCCATAATCACCATTATGAAATTTTGACTTGGGATCCGTGTTACACCTCAAAGTTGCAAATAAAACTTAACGGAGCTAGTATATATTTTTATGCTAATGATTCAAAGGTTTTTATTTTTTAATTTTTAATTTTTTTTTATTTTTTAATTTTTTTTTATCTAGACCTCTGTCTATCTTGCATAGATTAACAGTACAAAACAAACCATGACGTAGATCATCATGTCTTCCTAGCTAGTGTATTTTTCTAGTCCCTTAGAGGCTTTTTTTTGGCAATCCCTAGGCTAAGAAGTGTCTTAAACACTAAAAAATATATCTCTATTTTTATACGCATTACTATATTAATTTCTACAAATAAAGTGAAATCCATGGTCAAAGACTAAAACATTTGACCTGATAATTTGCAATTAGACAATTTTTTAGAAATGAAAGGATTGATTAACTTTCCTTCAATAAAATTGTTATGATAGGACGATAAGCATGGTATGGAGGATAGACTATGGCCTGGTATGAGTGGTGATAAACCTAATAAGGCTAAATGGACAATGTAATAATTATTCGTCTTTTATAAAATAAATAAATGGAACCTCAACCACACAGTTCTTATTTCTTATCCCACGTTTTTGTTACATTCTTAATTTTTTGGGCATATGGGATCGCGAGGAATGCACGAGAAAACGATGGGTTTGTCAATGCAATGTACTTGTAATCTTGTATTATGGAGGATATAATAATATTGAATTTTCTGGTATGGAACTAATGAGTTGTGAGTATGTGACTCGTCTATAAATTCCACTGTTTTTATCGTTGTACCAACACAAGCTATCAAAAAATTTACCAACAAAACATCAACTAGAGAGAGAAAAAAGATGGAATCGGATTATTTATGCCCGCCTGGTAAGATTTATACTAGACTTTAATTCCACGCAATATTCATTATGATATAATACTTTTATATATATATATATATATATATATATATATATATATATATATATATATATAATACCAGGTTAAAGCTTGGTCTAGTGATAAGAATTTTACCTTCTAATCTTAAGTTGTTAGTACGCCTACATGTTACATGATGATAGGAATAAATTGAAGAGGAACGTAGTTACATAACATAACGAACGTAATTTCCTAGAGCGATAAAATTTGTTATGATCTTCTTCACTGTATAGGTACAAATATCAAGAGATTGGATCGAGTCCTTACGTATTCTCCATGATGACGAATTATATGATTTTGCAGGGAAGCTAAGCTGGCCGGAATTGGTTGGAAAGAATGGAGAAGAAGCAGCTGAAATAATTAAGCAAGAGAATCCTCTTGTCGATCCCATTGTTTGGGATAAAGGATGGAGGCCACTTAACTTCAATTGTTATCGGGTTTTCGTATTCGTTGATTCGGATGGTATCGTTACTAGTCCTCCAACGGCAGGTTAAGCAGTGCCATGAATCATGCGAATAATATGTACACATCAAATTATATAAGTACTAAATAAATGAATGTGTACCGGTATATATGTAGCATGTAGTACGGATCCAAGTATGTGTGATTATGAAATATGAAGTGATGATAATCTAATTTACCTATAATAAAAGGAAATTGTGTAATAATATCTAAGTTTAGTTCCAAAATCCAAACAAATAGAGTACACGCTTACTTTTTCACCAAAATCGTTAACAAAACAAATGGTAGTAGCGGAAGCAAGAAAATATGGATCAAAATCTCATGATACCATGATAGAGTTATGAGAAAAGAGAATGTTGGAAAGCTTCAAACCAAAAACACACTTTTTGCTCAACTCTTTTGGCACCCCGTATTTCATATACCAAGATATGCCATTGACATATATATTTTTTTTCTCCAAACCCCTTACATGGAGAAACAAAGTTTTTTCGATATCCCGTAGTTTACCTACCAAGTTTTACCATATACGAAATTCTCTCCAAAACCATTATGGAGAAACATAACATTATGTTCTAAACCACCCAATGATTGTGTACCCAGAGGGTCACCGTAAAGTGAGCGGATTGAGTCCGGGTGCAAAACAGGTTGTGCGGGACATGACAAAGTCCAAGGTTGCTCCCCGTAACATCATGTCCACTATTGCCGAGCAATTTCTTGATGATCATCCAAACATCCGACACATTTACAATTGCCGAAATGACTTCAGGATGGAGATGTCCGAAGGAAGAGGAGTTGTTCAGCAATTTCTTCATCTGGCGAGAGAGAGTAAATACATTTACTGGTTCACGAACAATGATCACAATGTTTTGCAACATGCATTTATGGTGCACCCGATCATGGTCAACATACTCCGCACATACCCACATGTCATAGGTATGGATTCTACTTACAAGACCAATCTATATAACATGCCTTTCTTTGAGATAGTAGGCGTGACACCGACAAACCAGAATTTTCTAGTTGGATATGTTTTCACGCGCGACGAGTGCACGACTAGCTATCGGTGGGTGTTGCAGAGATTAAGGGAGTTGATTGGGTTTGATAACGAGCCATCTGTATTTATTTCAGACCGTGATCTTGGGCTATGTGCGGCTTTGAGAGAAGTCTTTCCAGGGACGTCACATTTACTCTGTCTATGGCACATCAACAGAGATGTGGAGCCAACATTCAGCAGTGAAAACTTGGTTAGAATCATCCACAGGTTAGTTGTATTATTTTATTAGTTGTTCTCGTTGTTACGTAATTGTAATTGTATTAATTGTAATTGTATTTGAATTTACTAATTAGAATCATTGGCAGGTGCTTTGGATACCGTATGGGCCCGAGTCCATTGTCATATCGGTAATCGCATCATACAAATTCGTAATGACTTGGAGGCATCTAAAATTGGTCAGATGTACAGACAGTTGCCACTGTCACGTATAAATGGCAAAGTGTCTCAACATTGCTTGAAAGTTCTGGATAACGAGACGAAAAGGATGCGGGATTTGAGTTACCAGGTCCATGAACGGTGTGGATGTGCTATGCGTCTGACCCATGGTCTTCCATGTGCTTGCCAGATACATGATTCGATAGTTGCACAGACAGGATTGTATAGCAGCCAAATTCATTCTTTCTGGAAGATATTGGTTATTGGTGATGGTGTTAACATTCCTGAAGTGGTAAATGATTCGACCGAGGAGGCTGCACATTTTCGGTCCCTAATCGACGAAGTCATGGAAAGTGACCCGGCCGTACGTCGAAATGTAACGCGAATCATTGAAAAGGAGCTACATCCAGATCATTCACACCTTGAAGAACCACATATCAACCTTAACACTCGTGGTCGACCAAAAAGAAATAACACTAGGCGTGATCGTAGCTATTTCGAGCATGTGAACCGTCAACACACTCAACGTGGTGGTGACCCAGAACCAGGTAATACTAAAATTCCATATTTTAATATAAAAATATGTAAACTTAATACTTGTAGTTTTACTAATAATTTATCTTTTAATTTTGTGTTGTAGATCCAAGTGACATTAGTCAATGCAAGTATTTGAACTTGCTTCCAGCCCCAATGTTGCCGTACATTTCGTCTTGGAAGGATGTCATTGGTGATGGGAACTGTGGCTTTCGTTGTGTTGCCGACTTCTTCTTTGGCGATCAAAATAAGTGGTTTGACGCTCGGGAAACAATAGCGAACGAGGTCGCTGGTCATCCTGATTTGTACGAATGGATTTACGGGCTTGGGCGACTTTGGATGAACGTGGAGCGTATTCGATGGGATGGTGGGGCTGTCGGGGAGCGACATTGGATGGTTACAATTCAAGATTTATTTCCTATTGCTACGTGGTTCAACGCAAGGGTGATTTGTCTCGGAGTAGGCCTAGTACCAACTTGCTACTACCCATGCATTACGAGGCATTTGAAGGTCCCGGGTCAAGGTACCCTGCTGTGGCCGAAAGCACGTAAAGTACTCGTAAATCCACGCTTGCAGAAGCGTGAGACAACCAGCAATCGAATCAGCACCTTTCCGTGATGCCGTGCCCAGTTGCCGATACAAGTAGGCCAGTGCAGCTGTTCCCCAAACATACTCGTTAATAGGGAAATCCGTGTGACATAGCTCATGGAGGAAGGAAGGGTGCGTACGGTTACCACTCTTGTCTACAAACAGTGTACCTCCAAGCACTAACCACAAGTATGCATCAAGCTGCTCACTAAAATCCCGGTCAACCGCCAATATCGACTCAAAAATCTTATCAGTCAACACCCCACTACCCTGCCAAATGGTCTTTATGCCGCAAACCTCAGACAGATCATCTGGAGTCATATCCATGGTGACCGAACACGCGTCCCGTAACACGTCCGTGCTAGGATTAGTTGACACCATATTGCCTGCAACCCGTAACCCAAGTATGTTATACACGTCGTGCAGCAAGATCGTAATCTCCCCAAATGGCATGTGAAAGGTGTTCGTATCTGGCTGCCACCTCTCAACAAAAGCAGAAATCAACGGCTAATCAAGTCTCTTAAACATCAGGCCGGGCAAGTGAGACAACCAACTAGCATCAATCGCCGCAATGTCCTCCACAGATTGACGACCTCGCCAAGTGAACAAGTCAGAACATAACTTTGTCCTACTCAAACAGCGCAAAACACTACGCTCCTGCTCCATCCAGATATACCGTGCCACGTGACCGCCAAAACTAGGGATAACTGACCCATCCTCAGGCCCACCCGACATCGGTTCCTGCACTAACCATGCCTCTACAGAGCTGGAAGTAGGCTGACTCGACCCACTACCAACAAATCTCCCAAACTGACCCTTATATACCATATGGAAATCCTGAGGGTCCTGTTCTTCATCCTGGTCACCAGCATGACTAGCCGAACATTCGTCTTCCTCGTCAGATATGGGTGCTCCACTTGCAGAGTACAAGGGCCGACTACTACCAGACTGTTGGTCTCTCGACCAACCACTAGTAGACCCGTATTGCTGCTACTCGGGCTGAACCGGTGAAGATCGAGATGTCTGTCTCCTAACAGACGCATTCAGACGTCGTGATATTGCATGTCAAGCACCAGAACCCTCGATCTACATAAAATAAAAAAATAATCTGATTTTAGTAATAACAATAACAATAACCATAATAACCATAATAACAATAACAACAATAACAACAACAACAAATACAAATTAACAACAACAAATAAACTTAACAACAACAATAACTAACAACAATAACTAACAACAATAACAACAACAACAACAACAACAACAACAACAACAACAACAACAACAACAACAAAAAATACAAATTAACAACAACAACAATAACCATAATAACAATAATAATAACACTAATATCAACAACTATAATACTAATCATTAATAACACTAATATCAACAACTATAATACTAATCATAATTAAAAATATTAATAATAGTACTACTAATAACACTAATAATAATATTATTATAACAACAACAACAAAAAAAAAAAAAAAAAAATTAAACAACAACATGCAATAACCATAAAAACCCTAATATTAAATTAGTTTAATAATAATACTAATCATATTTTTAAAAATAATAACACTAATAATAATAATAATAATAATAATAATAATAACAATAATAACAATAATAATAATAATAATAATAATAATAATAATAATAATAATAAAAACAATAATAATAATAATACTAACCATAACACTTCAAAATAACAACAAAAATAACAAAATCCAAAAAAAAAAAACAAATTAACAACAACAACAATAACCTTAATAATAAAAACCTAATATCAACAAAATAATAAAAATTATCATATTTTTAAAAATAATTACATTACAAAATATAATAAGCACAAAAATAACAACAACAACAATAATAATATCAACAATAATCACCATAACACTTCAAAATAACAAAAAAAAACAAAATCCGAAAAAAATAAAATTAACAATTTTATTAACGCGCCAAAAAAAAAAAAAATTAGAACTTCCGCCCAAAATTTCCGGAAGTTCCATGGAGGATCCGCCTGGAATTTCCGGATCCTCCATGGAACATCCGGAATTTCTGGGCGGATGTCACTTTCGCCCAAAATTTCCGGATGTTCCATGGAGGATCCGGAAATTCCAGGCGGATCTTCCATGGAACTTCCGGAAATTTTGGGCGGAAGTTCCTGGGATCCGAAATTAAAAAAAAATACCTCGTCTCCGCCATCGCCGCCACCGCCGCCTCCGCCGCTGCCGCTGCCACCAGCGCCGCCGAAGGTCCTCCCTCTGAAACTCAGCCTAATTCGCTCGAATCACCCATTTTCTTTTGTGTTTATGATGATTGTTGTTTTTTTAAAAAATGAAGAACAATTTTTGAATTTTTTTTTAAAAAAAAAAAAAAAAATTGTTTTAGAAAGTTAGAGAGTAAGAGAGTTTGAGAGTAAGAGAGTTAGAGAGAGAAGTAAAGAAGTGAGAAATGTTGGTTGGGAAGGAAAAAACCGTATTTATATATTAGGGGTAAAATTGGAATTTCAAGAAAAAAAGGGAGCGTTATCCGGTAAAATGGGAGCGACAAATAACAACACCCAAATTAAATTACCACTGCCGTGCCAGACCGTGCCACGTGTCGTGCCGGCGTGTCGTCCCACGGGCCAGCCACCGTGCCTCGTGCCGATTCCCAGATTTTTGTTCACGGCACGGCCCACGGCCCACGGTGGGGCGCCGTGCCTTGCCGGGCCGCCCGCGTGCCGGCACGGCCCATGCCCATCTTAACTAAAAATTGATGACTAATTTTACTGTTTCATCACCTTGTTGTGGACTTGTGGACCTCGTGGTTCAAATGTGCAAGGTTGTTGTTGTTTTTTTTTTTTTCCTTAACTTTTTAAAAAAAAATCACGGAAAGAAAAGAATCCTAAATTAACCGGCCTAAGAGGGACAAAACAAAACAAAGTTACTTAAAAAAGAGGAAATGAAGTAAACGAGTAGCAATTTCAGATTTTGAAACCCTAGTTCATCTTAGATCTAAAATTAGTCAAAACCCCTCTTTTTTTCTAGAATTCGTGGTAGCTTCAAAGCTGAATCTGCAGATCATTTCATGTTATTACCCAGGTAATTTTTCAATTTTCCCCTAATCTATTTAGAATGTTCTGAAATTAAGCTCATTTTAGTGTTTAATTCGGCATAATACTATCTGGGATTTGATAAATTTGTAGATACCCAGTTGAATTTTTTGTGAATTTATAGGGACCCAATTGATCACTGGGTCAACTAGTGTGGAAATAATTTTGTGGGTTTAGAAAAAAATGGGTCAAAATTATGTGTTGAAAGAGGAAGAAAAAGTTATGGTGGAAGCTGTTGTTGGAAAAGATGCATATAATTTCTTGATGTCAACAGCATGTGATGATTCTCTGTCAGAATTTAATCCACCAGGTGATATTTTGAATTTGCAACAAGGGTTGTGTCAAATTGTTGATGGATCTAGTTGGAATTATGCAATCTTTTGGCAAATTGCTAGCTCTAAAAATGGTAAGGCAGTGTTGATTTGGGGGGATGGGCATTGCCGTGATCCGAAGGCGGTATTAGCTAGAGAGAGTTTAGATGGTGGGAATGGGAAATTTGGTAAAAATGAGGCTAAAAAGAGGGTTCTTGAGAAGCTACATGCTTGTTTTGGGGGATCAGTGGAGGATAATTTTGCTGCAACATTGGATAAAGTATCAGATGTTGAGATGTTGTATCTTACATCTATGTATTATTGGTTTCGGTTGGACTCTTCTTTGGGTCCTGCAAAATCCTTTACTAGTGGCAGGCCAATTTGGGTTTCGGATGTTAGGAGTTGTTTAGATCATTACCAATCGCGTGCACACTTAGCGAAATCAGCTATGTTTCAGACGGTTGTGTTCGTGCCTGTGAAAACTGGAGTTTTAGAGTTGGGTTCTGTGAGAACTGTTATGGAAGAGCATAGTTTGGTGCAGATGGTAAAGACTGTATTTGGTGAATCACATTCTTTTCCGGCCAGAGCTTCCCCTAAAGTTTTCGGGCGTGATCTTAGTCTTGGTAGTGGTTCTAGACCACGCTCAATGAACATAAGTTTTGCCCCAAAGAAGGAAGATGATGGCTCATTTTCTGCAGAATCTCATGTTGCTGGGAGTGATATGGGTCCTAAGAATATATTTGGGTCACCTTCTAATGGAAAGCATGGTGAACATGGTGACAAGAAACTCTTTTCAGAGATCAATTTTGGGGGATCGAATCCAGAGACTGATTTCCCTGCGTTAGATGAGGCCAGTGAAGAGTTTTTGTTGCATGCTGCTGAACTAAGAGCACGTAAGAGACCAGTTAGGAGACCAGCTAGTGGGAGAGAAGAAGCAATGAGCCATGTTTTAGCAGAAAGACAAAGACGAGAGAAGCTTAACCAACGGTTCTATGCATTGAGAGCTGTTGTCCCAAACATCTCTAAGATGGACAAGGCGTCACTCCTTCTTGATGCCATTTCATACATTAACGATCTCCAAACAAAGATCAGTGCGCTTGAGGCTGAAAAGGAGGCTGCTAATCCCAAGCAGGAGGAACTTCCTATCCCAGAGATTGATTTTCAGGCAAGGCAAGATGATGCACTTGTTCATGTTAGTTTCCCTCTTGATGATCACCCTGTTTCTAAAGTCGTAAGAACTTTGAGGGAACATCAACTTGTCGCACTAGAGGCCAATGTTAGTACAGCAGATGATAAGATGGTTCATACATTCAAAATCCGAGCTCAAACTGAAGGGGCTGAGAATCTTAAGGAGAAGCTAGAGACTGCTCTTTCCAAATAAACTACAATAGGAGAAAGTTTAATTGTATAATTATTCTTTGTTGTATAATCATAATTTAAAGTACCACATGTTTCAGATGACGTTTTGATTTTCTTCCGTAATCATCTGTTTATGGTTTACTATCTCCTCCTCAGAGTTTTAGTAGATTATGTGTGCGATGTTAATTGAACCAATCAACACCATTGCAAAGTCTCTATAGACAGGGTGTACTTGTAAGTTGTAACCTTAGAAAGTCGGTAGAAGTATCCAAGGCTATTTGCTTGCTCGTTTGAAGCTCTCCAAATGAGGTAGAAATAACCTTGAAGGTACACCTGATTTAATAGAATTTCCGGAACCTCTGCTTGTTGCCTTCATGATGAATTATCAATTTCTGGGATGTACGAAGTAGTAAACTTCATTACTTCAGACTCCAATAGAAGCAAAATGTTAGTGTCATTCAGATCTGATTGTAAGAACAATAATACCTTTAACGATTTGATTGCATGAACAACAACTTTAACGTGCTAGAATCTCTCTTACTTTAAAAAAAAATGAAAACATTAATCTGGTGCAACACAAGGAATTTTAAAGAGGTCACCCATTTAGTTGTTCTAATGATTGGAGGGTATAAGTTTTTTTTTTCCAAATAATTTTGACGTATTTGAACTCTTTTGAATTTATAAATCTATTATTTTTTAACCTATGTTTGACCTTATTCAATCTTAATCAGAACTTATATAATCAAAACTTATTTTTGTTTCAATAGATCTTACTGTTTGAAACAAATCAGAATAAGTTAAAAAATTATTCATTTGATTTTTACTAGTCTGATCTTATGAAGTTGTTAAAACTACCCGTATCCAAACTTATTTTTCGTGAACTGAACTTATTAGAAAATGACTCAAGTCTATTATTCTAATTATTAATGCGATAAAACTACCAAGTGGATGAAACAAATAAAGATTCACTAAGCAAGTAATCAGTAAACAACACAAATAAATTAATTAACATGATAAAAACAACACAAATTAATAGCTATAGTATTCATATATTCCTTTGTAGTTGAATTGAATAATTAAATGAAATCATATCCTCCAACCTTCCCCAGGTCCCAGGACATTACATTATCCTGCTATATTTTCTCTCTCTTCTCTAATGGCTTTTCTATTAAGTTGCTATTCTTACACGTAACTTTACACCTTCATTTCACAAGATGCACAATTTCTTGTGTTTTTTAACTGTTCCACCTGTACCTCGTGCTCCTGCTCTACCTTTTTTTTCCTCTGCTTTAAGCTGAAAAACAACCAAATTTTTAATTAAAGAAAACCCAAAAAAACCCCATTATCTGGAGCCCCAAAAACCCTGGAATTTTACTGAAGTTCTAGTAGTAAAGACTCAATCTTTTTGAAACCCTAGCTCTTGTTTCAAGGACCCTTTTTTTGTTCAATAATTTGTGGTAATTTCTGCTGAATTTGGGGTTTCTGCTGTTTCATTTGTTACCCAGGTATATAACCTTTCTTGCACTTTTATGTAGTGTTGTAAAGGTCATTTTGAGCTTGATTTATGCTTAGGTCTGTTGATTATTGAACTGGGTTTTTGATTATGTTAGTAATTTATAGAAACCCAGATCGATTTTTTGTGATTTGTTGAGGTTTGATATGAATTGAGAGGAACCCAGATTGGTAATTAGCTTTAATTTTGAGATTTTGATTCTGGGGTTTGAGGAAGATGGGTGTAAATTGTGAGATTAATGATGAGGATAAGGTTATGCTGGAAGATGTGGTGGGAGTTGAGGCATGTAAATTCCTGATATCTAGAGTTTGTGAAGATTTTCTTAGTGATTTTAATGATACAGGAAGTAGTGATGGTGGTATGCTGAATCTTCAGCAAGGGCTATGCCAAATTGTTGATGGTTCTAATTGGAATTATGCAATATTGTGGAAGATTGTTAGTTCTAAGAAGGATGGTAGGTCTGTGTTGATTTGGGGTGATGGACATTGCCGAGACCCGAAGGCGGTTGTTGCTGGGGAGAGGGGAGATGGTGGGGAGGGTAAATTGGTTGAGGGTAATGGAGAGATTGGTAAGAAAGATGAGGCAAAGAAGAGGGTTCTTGAGAAATTACATGCTTGCTTTAGGAAGTCAGAGGAGAATAATTTTGTTGCCACTTTGGATAAAGTATCAGATATTGAGATGCTGTATCTCACTTCAATGTATTATTGGTTTTGGTTGGACTCTTCTATGGGTCCTGCCAACTGTTTAACCTCTGGCAGACCGATTTGGGTTTCGGATGGTAATGCCTGCTCAAATCACTACCAATCTCGGGCTCATTTAGCTAAGTCAGCTAAATGTCAGACGGTTGTGTTTGTGCCTGTGAAAGCTGGAGTATTAGAGTTGGGTTCTATTAAAATGGTCATGGAGGAGCAGAATCTGTTGCAAGTGGTGAAGCATATCTTTGATGCACCTCAATCTGTACAGGCGAAGGCGTTTCCTAAGATTTTTGGCTGTGAGCTTAGCCTCGGTGGACCAAAACCACCATCGACAAACTTGAATTTTACTCCAAAGTTGGAAGATGATGCCGCATTTTCTGCAGAATCTCATGTTGGTGGAAGTAATGGAGGTGCTAAGCACACTTATGGGTCATCGTCTAATGGGTGTGTTAGTGAAGATAGTGGCAAGAAGTTGGTTTCAGAGATCAATTTTGGTGGTTTGAATCCCGAAGCCCAAACTCCTGGCATAGAGCCGGCTAAAGAAGAACTTTTGTTGCAGCCTAAACCACGAAAGAGGGGTAGAAAACCTGCTAATGGAAGAGAAGAACCGTTGAACCATGTTGAAGCAGAAAGACAGAGACGAGAGAAGCTTAACCAACGTTTCTATGCATTAAGAGCCGTTGTCCCCAACATTTCTAAGATGGACAAAGCTTCGCTCCTTGGTGATGCTATTTCTTATATTACAGATCTTCAAATGAAGGTTAAGATGCTCGAAGCTGAGAAGGAGATGGCTAATCCAAAGCAAAAGCACATGGCTATCCCTGAAATTGATTTTCAGGCAGGGCAAGATGATGCACTCGTGCATGTCAGTTTCCCTTTGGATCTTCATCCTGCTTCAAGTGTTGTAAAGACACTTGGGGAAAATCAAGTCCTGGCTCCTGAAGCCAATGTTTCCACAACAGATAACAAGATCATTCATACATTCACCATCAGAACTCAGAATGGTGGTGCTGAGAATCTAAAGGAGAAGCTGCAGGCTGCTCTTTCTTTGTAAGATCGATCTTTGTCGCATGATCCTGGCACAGTAATGAGTAAAAAACTTTCCTTTTTGAAGGTTTAGCCTTCTCTTTAATCTGTGCTCTTTGTTGTATCTGGTTACCATTTCTGATATATATTTAATGTGTCATGTATGATCTGCCTTCTTTAATTTGGTATGCATATTCCGGCATAGCACTATCCAACTGGCACCCTCCCCACATCTAAAACCAATTGATTCTCGCTCCCATGTAGTTTTGTCATAGGAATTCCATCTATATACAGAGCTGCTGCTCAGATGAAGAGCTCAATTGCAGATTGACAGGAACATTCTCTGTAGATACCAGGTGAGATAAGATCAAATTAGATTACTTGATATAAATATTTTGGATCAACAATATCTTTCAGAACTTATATAAAGACTTAAGGCTTTAAAGTTCATGGCTGTAACATTTCGTCTTTAAACCTTCTTTAGCTGATCTCTTTATTGGCACTATAGTTTCCTATTCCGTAGGTTTGTTGTTTGTTAATCAGCAAGATAGGCTAGAAAATGGTTATTGTATATATTGCAGTTGTGGGATGATGGTTGTGCTGCAACTATATGCCTGTTATTGCAATCTCGATCAAAGATCTACAAAGTAACTGAAAATAGCAAAATCTAACCTTTGGAAAAGTTTCATATTCGTGTAAAGTTTTGGTGGAATGATTCTTATTAGAACTCTCAGATATATAATACAAGTTTCTGTTTTCTAGGTACTTGTTCTTCGAGCACTCTTTATATTCACAATTATATGTGCCTCAATTTTTTGCAGGTACTGAGTTAACAGAACAAAAGGGAAATCTATTTGTCATCTGTTGTGCGACAGCGGAAGCAAAGGTCGAAAACAAACAAGAAAACAATAAAGAAATTCAATGCAAACAATAAGAACAACACCAAGAATTTACGTGGTTCACTATCGATGTGATAGCTACGTCCACGGGCACCGAGATCGAATGATTTCACTATAAACTGCAAAGATTACAAAGATGATTCTTGTATTTCTCAAGAACGGCTTTCACTCTGTCTCTCTTAACCCTAATACTGATATTAGGGAGGTTTTATATTAATCCCTAATTAAAAGATACTTGGGCAAAAAGATAATAAAATAAGATAACTTTAAATCGTAAAATCCGCGTCTCCGCATTTTTCCTTCTCCGCCCGGTCAGACCGGGCAAGGTCTGCCCGATCGGGCGCGAGAAGAAAACTCCATACGAATGCTTCAACGTATCCAACCCCCACCGCCCGGTCAGACCGGGCAAGGTCTGCCCGATCGGGCGAAGGCTCGCCCGGTCGGGCGAAGGCTCGCCCGGTCGGGCGCGAGAGCAGCTTCTTCAACGAATTTGCCAGGCACCTCTTCTTCTTCCGCCCGGTCAGACCGGGCAATGTCCGCCCGATCGGGCGGACAAAGCTACGAAGTACGAGTCACCTAATATACTTATCAACAATCTCCACCTTGACGAGAACTCGTAGTCAGCAAACGACCCCATCAAGACATAGTGAAAAAACATCTCAAGCCAAACCCGATGCAGGACTCATGCATAAGCCATACATCCCGATAAGTCTTCAACCAAGACCCATCACATACTCGTCTCCAAGTATAACAACTCATAATGCTCCACCTGCATCACAAGCCCCGGGCAAGCTCCACCTTAAGGCCAACACACCTACACCAGGAGCTCCCCAACTTCGCCCCTCAGGGCCTACTACATCACGTAGTAATCAATATTTAACAAGTCTAAGCAATGTTTAAACTTGCTAAACGGAACAGGCTTAGTGAAGAAATCAGCCGGGTTGTCAGCAGTCCCAATCTTCTTCACCTTAATCCTCTTGTCAGTACGTAAGAAATGATACCTGACATCAATGTGCTTCGTCCGATCATGGTGTACTTGATCTTTAGCTAAGCAAATCGCACTTAGACTATCACAATACACTGTAGCAAAATCCTGTGCAATACCCAGTTCACCTACTAGGCCTTTGAGCCAAATAGACTCCTTAGCTGCAGAAGTTAAAGCCATATACTCAGCTTCAGTAGTTGACAACGTAACTGATGACTGCAATGTAGACTTCCAACTAACCACAGAACCACCCAAAGTGAACACATAACCAGTCACAGACCTCCTGGTATCCACATCAGCTGCATAATCAGAATCACTGTACCCAGTGACCAAGCATTCCCTACCATTCCCGTACACAAGACCAATATCAGTTGTCCCTCTCAGGTAGCGAAAAATCCTTTTCACCCCTTGCCAGTGTTCCCTCCCAGGTCGAGCCATAAACCTGCTTACAACACTAACAGCATGCGCAATATCCGGCCTAGTACAGACCATAGCATACATCAAACAACCAACCGCGTTTGCATATGGAACTCTAGACATATAAGACAACTCCTCCTCTGATTGAGGTGACATAGACAAAGACAACTTACAACTAACAGTAGTTGGCGTACTTATAGGCTTCGATTTTTCCATCCCAAAACGAGACAGAATCTTTTCAATGTAGCTTTTCTGAGTCAAGAAAAGCTTACCTCTAGCCCGATCCCTGTAGATCTCCATACCCAAAATCTTCCTAGCTGCACCCAAGTCTTTCATGTCAAACTCCGAGTTAAGCATCTCCTTTAATCTAGCAATATCAGATTTATTCTTTGTGGCAACCAACATGTCATCAACATATAACAAAAGATAAATCATGGAACCATTATCCAGCTTACTATGATACACACAGCAATCATATGAATTCCTGTCAAAACCTTGTGAAACCATAAAAGAATCAAACCTTTTGTACCACTGTCGGGGGGATTGCTTAAGTCCATACAATGACTTTAGCAATCTGCAGGCATAGTGTTCCTTTCCAGGAGCTTCGAATCCTTCGGGCTGCTTCATCAGAATCTCCTCCTCCAAATCGCCATGAAGGAAGGCCGTTTTAACATCCAACTGCTCCAGCTCAAGATCAAAATGTGCTACAATTGACAATAACACACGGATAGAAGTATGTCGAACCACAGGTGAGAATATCTCAACAAAGTCAACCCCTTCTACCTGACTGAACCCCTTAGCAACTAGCCTAGCCTTAAAACGTATTTGCTCAGTTTCCGACAACCCTTCTTTCTTCTTGTAAATCCATTTACAACCCACAAGCTTCCTCCCTTCCGGTACCTTTACCAGTTCCCACACTCTGTTCTTGTAAAGGGACTGCATCTCTTCACCCATTGCGGCAAGCCATTGCGCAGACTCACTACAACTAATTGCTTGTTTATATGTGGCAGGTTCAAATGACTCTACATCATCAGCTACACTCAATGCATAACCTGTCATCGCATCAACACAGCAATTTCTTCCCTCCATCTCTTCAATCAATCTAACAGGCTTCTTGATAACTCGTTTAGGCATCTCAAGAATGGTGTCAGGTTGACTAGATGACCCCTGATTAGATTGCTCCACCTCATCCCCAGAGTTAGAATGAGTAGGAGTAATCTCAGGTTCAGGAGTACCCGGCACTGGAACATCAGCATCATCATCAATATATTGTACCCGAGGTAAATCAGCAATGGTAGACTGATGTACCTCAAGTACCCCATCTGTCTGTAATAAATTGTCTCCTTCCCTTCTCAAATCTGAAATCTCTGCATTTTTAATTGAATACATGGTGTTTTCATCGAAAGTAACATCCCTACTAAGAATGACCCGACCCTCCGAAGGTGAAAAAATTCTAAACCCCTTCACACCATCCCCGTACCCAACAAAACACCCCTTCTTGGCTCGTGGATCCAGCTTACCCTCAATAACATGATAATAAGCAACACAACCAAAAATCTTCAAATTCGAAAAATTAGGCAACTTACCACTCCAGATCTCAAACGGAATTTTGGAATCAATTCCAGAATGAGGACCCCTATTAATGACATAACAAGCTGTTAACACAGCTTCACTCCAGTACCTCCTCCCAAGCCCTGCATTAGAGAGCATGCATCGAACTCTCTCTAGCAGTGTCTGATTAACCCGTTCTGCTACACCGTTCTGCTGTGGTGTCTTCCTGACAGTATGATGCCGACCTATACCCTCATCTGCACAGAACTGATTAAACTCGTCTTTGCAAAACTCTAGCCCATTGTCCGTTCGTAGCTTCTTAATCTTCCTTCCTTGTCGATTTTCCACCAAAGCTTTCCATTGCTTGAAAACTTTGAAGGCCTCATCCTTTGACTTAAGCAACCTAAGCCATGTGTATCGGGACTTGTCATCAACAAATGACACAAAATAGTGGTAACCTCCCATACCTTCAACTCTAGATGGACCCCAGCAATCTGAATGGATGTAATCGAGCACTGCATCAGTAATGTGAGCACCCTTGCTGAACTTTGACCTGTGTTTCTTACCAAACACACAATGCTCACAAAATTCAAGGTTGGCAACCTTGACCCCGGATAGAAGACCCCTCTTGGACAATAGCTGCATCCCCTTCTCCCCCATATGACCAAGCCTCATGTGCCAAATCTTAGTCATCTCCTGGTGAGATACAGATGCGCAAACCGCAGAACTAGGCAGTGTAACACCCTCAAAAACATAGAGGGTGTTCCTTTTGATACCCTTAAGTACCAACTCAGAACCTCTGAAAATACACAACTCCCCATCTGAAAACACACCATTGTACCCCAATTCATCCAGGGTACCCAATGAAATCAGATTCTTTCCTAAAGCAGGAACATGCCGTACATTAGTCAAAGTTAACCTCCGCCCATCAACAGTCCTCAACCTCATGGAACCAATACCTGTGACCTTACATGGAGCATTGTTACCGACTATAACCATACCCCCATTGCGAGGTTCATATGTATCAAACCAATCTCGACGTGGACACATATGGAACGAACACCCCGAATCTAGAACCCAGTTATCAGATAAATCATCAGACCTAGCAGAACTGACTAATGCTAAATCTTCCTCTGAATTATAGCTCTCATTCGGTTTCTCTTCAACTACAGCAGCCTGGGACTTGTTTTTCCTCACCGGACAATTATTCCTAAAGTGACCCGGTTCTTTACAGTAATAACATGTTTTAGTAGTAGTTTTACTAGATCCATCCTTGCCGTTTCCAGCACCCGACCCAGCATTGTTCCCCTTGTTAAACCCCTTATTCTTTTTAGACTTTCCGGACTTAACAAATAACCCACTACCATTATCCCCATTATCACTCGTAGCTTTCATTCTGAGTTCCCTAGTATGAAGTGCTGCCTTCACTTCTTCTAAGGTTATAGAATCCTTACCAACAACAAAAGACTCTACAAAATTCTCAAAGCTAGACGGTAGAGATACAAGTAAAATCAACGCAGCATCCTCATCATCAATTTTAACATCTAAATTACGTAAATCAAGCAAAATAGAGTTAAGTTTTTCTAGATGTTCCCGTAAGGAAGTACCTGACTGCATCCGGAGGCTAAACAACCGCTGTTTCAGTAATAATTTGTTGGTCAACGACTTAGTCATATACAATGACTCCAGCTTCAGCCACAATCCAGCCGCCGTTTCCTGATCAGCAACCTCCGTGATGATTTGATCATCAAGACTAAGTAATATGGTAGAGTGTGCCTTCTCTTCCATAACTTCTAACTGCGAGTCAGTCGGTCCGTCTCCTGACTCCGAAGTAGTACTCTTTGGAGCCAACGGACGCCATATCTGCTGTTGTTTTAACAGAGCCTTCATCTTAATTTGCCATAGCCCGAAACTATTTTTCCCGGTAAACTTCTCAATTCTTATTGTTGAATCTCCTGCCATTGTTATCTTCAAGAAACTCTCCAAGGATTGAACCTGAGCTCTTGATACCAATTGTTGTGCGACAGCGGAAGCAAAGGTCGAAAACAAACAAGAAAACAATAAAGAAATTCAATGCAAACAATAAGAACAACACCAAGAATTTACGTGGTTCACTATCGATGTGATAGCTACGTCCACGGGCACCGAGATCGAATGATTTCACTATAAACTGCAAAGATTACAAAGATGATTCTTGTATTTCTCAAGAACGGCTTTCACTCTGTCTCTCTTAACCCTAATACTGATATTAGGGAGGTTTTATATTAATCCCTAATTAAAAGATACTTGGGCAAAAAGATAATAAAATAAGATAACTTTAAATCGTAAAATCCGCGTCTCCGCATTTTTCCTTCTCCGCCCGGTCAGACCGGGCAAGGTCTGCCCGATCGGGCGCGAGAAGAAAACTCCATACGAATGCTTCAACGTATCCAACCCCCACCGCCCGGTCAGACCGGGCAAGGTCTGCCCGATCGGGCGAAGGCTCGCCCGGTCGGGCGAAGGCTCGCCCGGTCGGGCGCGAGAGCAGCTTCTTCAACGAATTTGCCAGGCACCTCTTCTTCTTCCGCCCGGTCAGACCGGGCAATGTCCGCCCGATCGGGCGGACAAAGCTACGAAGTACGAGTCACCTAATATACTTATCAACATCATCTACTGATCAAATCTATTTTATATTCCATATCTACTGCTGCTATATAACTAGAGTTTTGCTGTACAGGAGCAGATGTAAGCAGCAGGTTTCGCTATCTTCTGATGTTTCCGTAAGTTCTTGGTATAGATTAGTATCCCAATATCTCATCTTTTCAGAATTAACAATGAGTAGTTGGGACAACATGGTTTAGGCTTCTCACTTCTCAGAGTTGCATCTCCTTGGAGGATTTCTACCTGAAGTGGTCCAAAGCTGATCAATATGATCGAGCCTAACTGGTCGGGTCAATTTTCAGGTAGTGAGCTGGTCCACATAGCATTTTTTGAACATTTTGGTCCTCGGCTTGATTTTCTAGGGCTCTTTGGCAGACTGTTATTGCCCCTGAATTTGTACCATCAATTTTCCTATTTGACAGCATAGCATTGATTTTTAAGTTTCTGCTGGTTGAAAGCAGGGGTATGAATGAGTCAGCAGATATCCCAAAGACAGACTGATACTTTTCCAAATTTGGCAATAGTATAACACTGATTTTCTGGCATTGAATTTTTCGGGTCTTGAATCTTAACAAGTCTTGTTGTTTCAGTTTACTGGTAAAAACCAACCTTGTACAGATGTGAAATCAAGAACAACATTGCTAGTTTGTAGCATAAATTTGTACTCAATGTAGTCAAATAAAGCTTCTGCAAAAAGAATTTTGATGTTCAGTTAAAATTTTGTAATATTAAGCTTTGTCCAATTTCTCCCTTTTTGATTTAATTTGCTCCAAGTTTTCTACAACCAATCAATATTATTGATTTATTGTGATGCACAGTTGTTGCTCTTGAAAGAAAGGTCAAAACAAGAAAAGCCAGCCAGGAGTATAGTGTTGAAAAATAAACTGTCTTTATGAACTTACATTGGCTCCCATTATTGTTCAACCAAATTCATTTAAACTTTACCAAGTCTAGTAGTTAAGTTTTCTACTTTCAAATCTCTTTTTGTATTCCCACATAATTTTATTCAATTCCATCCGTCTCATGCTACCATGCTACATATACAAAGTACTATTTTATGATGTCCGGATAAAGTTTATATTGCTATTGGTTTCTTATTGGATTTCCTTGACATCACATCTAATTAGTGACGGGAAGAGGGTTTAAGTTTTCAATCTGTAACAAGGGGCATTTTTAATATCAAATTGTATTACTCTGTAATAACTTTTGTGTAGTGGGGACATGTATCATGTATGTGATAACTAGTTATAAATGAAACCAACTAATTACTACATGTATTTGTTAATAACTAATTACAAATTAAGGGAGTACACCAACTAATTATACGAGACTATGCCCAACTACCCTAAAAAAACCAAGTATGAAAGAGTGGGGAGCACGTTTGAGTTCTTGATTACGCTCTAACAGTCTAACACACCATGTAATCTACAAATGATTCAAATTTGACTCTAGTGATTGTCAACCTGTACAATTTGCACCTTTGACCTTTTATTTTTTAAAAAAAAAAAATCTACAATTGGTTCTAATATGAGGCAAATCTAGAAAATAGTATTCGAGGAACAAAATTTTCATTCAAGCTTTTAAAGCTCAAGTAAAAGCTTTGATGTATCTACTATCAAAAATATTTTAAACATTTTTACCTTAATATTTGTAGATTAATGTACTAGTAGCATTTAGATGTCAACGACCCTAGTAGTCCCCTCTATGTTCCGTTTATGTATTTATTTTGTAAAAGGTTTATATCAAATAGTATTATAGATGTATAATCAATACAGACGAAAATCCATCACAAATTTCGGATACACAATAATGTTATCTCCCTAAAGATCGAGTTTAGGGCCTAAACTGGAGTAGCTTATTAGCAACCTTGTTAGCTATTGGTTTTAAATTTGTAGTTCAACTACTGGATTGTTTCCTTCCTTGCTTTCTATCCCCTTTTTTTACCGACCTGTTAATAGTCCATACAACACCTTTTAGTACATAAAACACTTGTACATGTTATAACACTGCCGCACATTTCTTTTCATCTAACTATGCTGGAATTTTCACCGGCCAAAAGTTGGTGAAAATTACGTTTTTTTGAGAAACATAACTTTTAGGTCCGTGTATATATCAATACTTACCATTTACTATATATATGTGAACATAAAACAATCAACTAGCTCCCCTTTTAAATTTTAACTAGCCTTCTGGCCCGTGCGATGCACGGGTTATTCACATAAAATTGTATTGATAGATAAGTGAAGAAATATCAGTAAGTCATCATAGGGTATAATATGTAATCGGAAACATGATTAAGGAAATTAAAATTTTGGACTTTAATAAAAAAAAAAAAAAGCTTAAATAGAAGGTGGAAGGGCTAAAATTAAAGAGAGAATAGGAAAAGGTTGAATTAAAGGGGAGAGATGAAGATGAAGAGATGAAGTATGTATGAAAGATGAATTATAAGTTTAATGAAAGAATTTTAAAAAATGGTGTAATAAAAAATTAATAGTGTTATATGATATGTGACACTATGATTAGAGAATTGTAATGGAATGGATGAGGACATGTGTCTTTCTTAGTTTCTTGGCTATAGTTTTTGAATACTAAGTATAGAAGTATAGATGACCAAGTATAACCAGCATATACAGAATACAGTACAACAATTTTTCCGCTCTTTTTTATTTATCATTAAATTATAAATTATATACATGAGAATCAAAGCTGGCGTAGTGGTTAGAATATTGAAGGTCTTCTTTCTATCTATGTGACAGGGGTTAGATTATCACTCATTCACCCTAAGCAAATGAAATCTCCAATTTTATCCTTGCTTGTAAACGAATTATTTAAATAGAAAAAATAAAATTTATATGCACTTTTTTAAAGGGAATGATATACGGAGTATTTTCGTATGTTGGATTTATATATGTAATACGTACAGAGGATTATTAATCAATCTAACCGTGTATGAAGGTGAGTCGTACAGTTTGATTAATTCCACGTCGTATATTATTTCAAAGTTGGCAATTCAAACACCCTCCTAAACAATAGTCAACCACTTCCTACATTTTAACAGAAAAGTCAATGCCATCCATTCCCATTCATTCATTTTATAACTAGTACTATTCCGTGCAGTATATATATATATATATGCCGCTACTACTCTTACTCTAACCATATCTCCATTCATTCCTACGACAAATCGTAATCGAAATCGAAATCGAAACTCGTACATCAATTTTCCCTACCACATTAATACACTTGCAAGTTTAGTGAAAAATAATAAACATGGGTTTTGCTCAAAGAAGAGGATGTTATTATGTTGTAATTCTTACAATAATGTTCATATTTTTAGTAACGAGTTTTGATGAAGTTGAAGCAATAAGACCATTGAAAAAAGATCAAAATTCGTTGTTATTAGCCTCGTTGCCTAAGGGTCCGGTACCACCTTCAAAATCTAGCCCGTGCACTAACATCCCCAAGAGTGGTGGCAAAGGTCGTTGTACCATGGAGGTGAATGTTTCCGGTGTTAGCACACGGCACGCCCCGAGCACCGCCAGCCTCACCTGAGTGTATATGTATGTGTCATCCAAGCACAAATGTTAAGGGTGATCAAGTTTTGCCATGCGCTTAAGGTGAAGAGTGTGAACATATAGGATTTTTTTTTTTTTTTTTTTTTTTTGGGTTGGTAGAGCGTATTATGAACCTGATATACAGCTAATTGTTTCTATACTGTAAATAGAAACATGTATAGAATTATGAAGAAATTAATTGTAACATAACATTCTTTATTTTTTTTACTCTAATCAATAAATGAAGGCCTCTAAATATTATTTTTATAGGTGTTTACTCTAGTTTTATTTTTGAATGTATGAGTATTATAATTATTTTTCCTTTTAATTTTAAGATGATGAAAATTACTCTCTCGATTCCAGAAAATTTTGTTTTAATACGTCACTAAAAGCCACCATCAAAATTAGTATGATAATAGGGGAAAAAAGTCTAACGTGTCAATTATTATGGGACGAAAGGAGTACACTGATTTCACCTAATTTATCACCTCAACATGTGATTGAAGTTGGTATCTCAGAGATGAGTATATAATTGGAAACTATGAACGTAGTAATTGTGATTGCACTACTTATTTCTCCATACAATAGTGAAAAGAAAAGGCTCATTTTAATCTTGTGTAATTACCTTTTACCAATTATTTCTACAATGTTTAGATGGGTTATTAGTAAATAATTTCATATCTAATTATCTAAATCTATATGGTCTTCAAAAAAAAATATATAAAAAAAAAATTCTAAATCTGTATTAGGGTAATTATAACGGAGTATTAAACAAGGTTATCATAACAACTTTGTATCCATACTTGCAAAGTTCAATACATATCCTTAAGCCTTCCTTGATCATTTCTATTAGTACTAAATTTATCAAAATTACAACCTTGAAAAAAAAAAATCTTTACCATACCGCGAAACCTCTTCTTATTCACCAGCAAATCACCCTATCAAATTGTAATTATTGAATCACTTGCTTTGTGAACATTATTATCTTCACATCAATCTCTATAATTCTTATTTTTATTACGTGCGTAATTGTCCTTATATGACCATATACCCTATAAAATGACACACTGGTACAAACATAATGTGTGCAATGGATTATTTATGAAATCTTGTTAAATGATGTACGTAGTTGAAATATATCATGCATAGACTAAGTCAATTGTTAAACATCCATCTAATAAAGTATGAAATCTTTCAAATGAACTCCAATAAAATAAGCACCAACTCAATGACCAATGAAACTAAATTACTAAGTTAATCCAGGTCAATATTGTATGTAGTATGCAATTCAAAAGTTTGAAAATATGTATATATATTACTTTATTTCTAATTCTTTTTGTTGAGCAAGTTTGAAAATATGTAAAGATATAATCTGTAATGGTTTCATAGTTTGCGAATTGCATGCATCAGAGAAGGAAAAGTTGCATGGAGTCAAAGCAGCAAGTTGCCAACATAATATTGAAGAAAATATTATGATCGGACTATAACTTTGTTGCTTGCAACATCATTTACCGACCATGGGACAACAATTTCTTTTGGGTCCAAGCCCATATATGGCATGTCATTTATTTATATATTTTGACGAATGAAAAGGACGATACAAATTACAAATACGAGTAAGGATGGAGCTTTTAATTATAAATTCGTAATTTATCATATACTTGTCCTCAATTTTAACAACTAGATATGTAGATCATGACCTCGTTAATATATATTTATGTCGCTTCATCAAAAATAATATTTTGAATTAGGGTTGTCAATTGTATCATGTCATTATTATTCAGTTTATTTTGTTACAATATACTACATATATAGTATTTGAAAGTTCTTATTTTCTTAATTATCTTAACCTAACCCAATTGTTTAAAAACTTGAAGTCTTTTGACTAGACTAGAACTAGTTCCTCTATTGATGAACAAGTTAGTAACCTTTTACCCATTTAGCATACTCAGTAATACGCAATATTATTTGTAATTAAGGGGAAAAAAGTAGATATTTTTTTCACGATTTTTAAGAAATTTATGGAAAAATAAATAGCCAAGTGATAACGAACCCATGGAATTACTCACTTAAGCCGCATGCGGTCCATGCACCTTGTATGTGGTTCTAATACAAAGTATTTCCTATATTTACGGACAATGGGAAATATATAAGCTACTTCAACTATTTTATTTTACATTAAACCTTGGTTTAATT